TAGAAGTGCAAAAGGCCCCACTAAAGCCCAGAATCTTTACAGACATCAGACAAGCCAGGTTGAAGTAACGCATTGCCTCTTCTGGGCATGCAGAAATGCTCCGAATTTAAATTAAAGCACCTTTTGCCGGGGGGGTTACATCTCAAAGCACTCCAAGATATAGAAACAATAATAATGAACAGATAGGATTAGATAGGAAATAGGATGAAATAAGGGGAAAGGGAATTACCAAGCATTTTTTGAGATAGGAAGAACAGCAATTCCCAGTCTACTTTGTCAATGCCATTCATTATTTAGATACTTTTATGCTTCATTATTCATCTCATTTCCAAGATAAAACCCAACCTTTTCAGTCTTGTCATCTAATCATGACTGTCACCCTTTTCTGAACCCACTCTAATTCTGTAATTCCCTTTTTAACATGAGGTGACCAAGGTGACAAAGGCTGTATGCAGATGACACTACTGCTGATTTATACAAAGTCATTGTAATGCTATGCATTATTCACAATCGCATTCCTCATGTTGTCTGATATCTTGTTAGCTTTTTTAACCACAGTTACATTTTGCTACAGGTTTTCATTGCTGTAACTATACCGACACCCAGGTCCCTTTTCTAAGTTGCTATAGTTAATTTAGAACCCTAGTACTAGTCATTTTCATTTAACCTCTGATGTTAATTATTTTGCATATAACAACACATAATTTAATCTAATGCTATGCTGCCTACTCACCAATCTTCTCAGAAGCCTAAAGAAATCGCCAAGTTTTCTTTTTATAGACACGTTCAAAAAATTCAGAGAGATTAATAAGACATGATCTTTTTTGCAGAACCTATGCTGGTTAGATTTCAAAATCTCATGATCTTCCAGGTATTTTATTTAAATGATATTTTAATTAAAAGGTAATGGAATCTCTCACATACAGATCCCAAGCTAAAGGCTATAATTTTTTGGATGATAATCTTATTCTATGATTTTCCTTTGAATGTAGGTATATCAATGCAAATTCTATTAGTAATTTAATTCCATTGTTAATTATTTCACTGTTAATGCCATTAACAATTTTATTGTTCAACATTCACACCTAATTAACTGAGCAGTATATGGTCCTAAGCTATTAATAGTTAGCATAATCATATATAAAGATTAATGAAATAATTCTTACAAGTATTTGTTTCAGTCATATTCCAAGCAATAAGAAGAATTGTTTAGAGTGGAATAAGGACCAGGGAATTGCTACTAATATAAAATTAAGCCCCATCAGTATAAAGAAAATCTCTCTCTCAAAATATATCAGTGCGCGAGAGATTCACAAGGAACTTCATTAAACATGAGGCAAGACAGCTCTCTAGAAAATATATTGTAGAGGACAATCCCACACTAGAGTGAATGACAGATTTTCTCTATCTGTAACTTTGGAAGAGTAGTTTTTGATGGAAACTTCTAACACTATATTTCATCTCACAGATGTCATGACTAAAACACTTTCTTCTGGAGTATTTGTGAAATTAAATATAATTAAGGATGGCTGTATTACCCTTAGATCTAGCATCCATTTACAGAATGATTTCTAAAAATATCTCATTACTTGATAGTACCTTATTTCCTTCATATGCTACATACTTACCTCAGGTCCTGCTTCTCCAACAGTTCCTCTTACACCAGGAGGTCCAATTGGCCCGAGGGGTCCAGAGTTTCCATCTTTGCCTGAAGGACCAACTGGACCTGGAGGGCCCTGAATAAAGTGGGGGAATTGAGGATGGGTTTTAATAGTAATAACAGCATTAGTCTTTAATATTAAACATAAATAATGTCTCATTCTGAAGTATTCAAGTGATGTTTTATGATTACTGAATTTAAAAACTGTTGCCACCTTCTTATCACAGGCTTAGAAGGACTGGGTTTCACCATCATGCTTCTGAATGTGCTCAGGTTTATGCAAGATATCCCTCATCAATCTGCCACTGTTTCTAAAGATATCAGTCAGTTCAGTTCTTAGTGGTGCCCAGAGATCTGTGTAACCCCTCTCTACTCAGCTGTTGACAGACCTAAAGATTGACTCAGGCAGCTGGAAACAGTCAAAATACAGACTCTAGCCATAGCTCTTCTGACTCCAGCCTTTATATTTGAGGCTGTGAGATGTACAGCAACAGGGAAAAAGGGTCCACTGACTATATGTTGCTTTTGCATGAGCAGAATGAAACAAATGGGCAGAAAAAAGAAGAATCAGAACAGTTCTTTTTACCGGGCTACAAGTTATGCTTCTGTAAAGTTGTGACCTTCACTATTAAATTATGTATAGAGGAAGGTAACCACAACATGAGGTTACTTACACCCCAAGTTAAACATCAGCAAAAAAAAGAAATTGCGAAAAGGGGAGGAAGGAGGACAGCATATACAAAAGAATATGGAAACTATATACTCACTCTAGGTCCAAAAGGACCTGGAATCCCAGCACTGCCCTGTTCACCAATTGGACCCTAAAGAAAAGATGGTGATAAAGATGAAGAAAATAATAATAATAGTAATAATAATAATAATCTTCCTCAACCTCAACTACAATGATTTTACCTGATCTATTTTTTGTTTTATTACAGGGATAATAGGAATGTTAAAGACAGGGTATGCTAGCAAGCTTAGGTCTCAGTCTATCCTTCAGTTATACATTTATAAGTGGACAGACTGCTGAGAGGCAAAGGCAGCTAGAGTATATGTGAGCACTAAACACAAAGTAGGCATTCTGCTCATATTTCTGGAATTGCTCAGCCCATGATAAGGATTTCACCTGCACTTGACCTCAGGATTTCACCTGCACTAAGGCTGGAAACAGACATCGCCAAATGATTCAGTTTGGCTGTATCCACTTCACTGAGCAAAACACACAACACCTGGGATAAGGAGCAATGTGTTCTCCCAGGGTTTGAAAGGCCTGGTCCTGTGAAACACAGAAACACTGGGGAATGATTGGCCCCTGAAGCCCTGAGAGCACCTGCCCAGCTTTCCCTGCTTACCCAGGCCAGGGGATCCCCAGGAACATATCAGAAAAAGCAACGAAAATCTGGGCTTCCCCACTTACTCAGACCTGTCCTCCGGGATCTCTGGGGACCCATCTGGGTAAGTGGATCCCAGTGTGGAGGCACAGAGTGCCAGGGATTCCCTGAGTCTCATGCCTCCATACCAGGACCCACACAGGTTTTCCCTATTATGGAAATATTATGCCCTAGAGATCCTTGGGCATGTCTCCATACGTTTTGAACCCTGACTTCTCTGCTTATTGAAAGACACCCCAAAATTCCCCAGGGTGCTTCTCTGTGAGTGGGGAAAGCCAGGCAGGTACTTCCAGGGCTTTAGGGCCTCTGAAAACTCAATAACACCTCTTCGGGGTGATTGGAGATTGTGGGCAACTGATGCTGCCCACACTCTTCCAACACAGAGCTAATAGATGCCCACCATAACAAAGCAGAATTTATTACTGCCTTTTGTCATGCCACTGATTTTCCTTTGATGTGGTGTAACAAAGGGTAGGAACATCTATTTGCTCACCATTTATGCTGCCATAAACATTTTTATGGTGGCATAAATGTGACATCAGGTGATATCTAAGTCCTAAGTGCTGAGAGTTTTTCTTTCATGGGCAGGATGCTGCTCCTTGCTATAAAACAGAAATGTTAAAATGTGGAAAATTACGATGGTTTCAGAAATGCATTGAAAAACAGCATATACAGGAAACCATCGGCATTCACCATTTCAAATATTTGCAAATGCCAAACCTGCATCTTAAATACACTTAAAGGAGCTCCTTGGGAGCGTTGTGCTTGCTGCTGCCAGGCTCCCACAGCCAGCTCTGTGCTCCTGCCATCACCAGCACAGTCATGCCACACCCCCAGCCGCTGAGGGCACTGTGTTCATCAACACAGACAGAGTTCATCAACGCAGTGCCTTATTTGTGGACTTCACCATTTGCATGGGATACGAGAACCTATCCCCTGTGAATGGCAAGGGTCTCCTGTACATAGATATAACCACAATCAATAGAACTCACAGATTTCTTTATTGTGTGCAGATACAGCTTCTTAAACTTCAAGTTTTTGAACAACAGAACTGTGAGCTTACACATCCTGTACCATATTTTGGACTCTAATATCAATATTAATTCTAATAACAAAAAATAGGTTGCATATTGCCCAGGTTGATTAGCATGACATATAATGATCTTTAATTCACCTAGTAGGAGAGCAGCAAAAAAGAAGACTGGCAACTTAATGTTATGCTGATACTAACAACATATATGGAAAGCATGTCCATTGCTGTACACTAAATATTTGGCTCACTTTGCATTTTAATTAGCAAGAAAAGAAAGGGAAAAAGAAAAATAAAGACAACTTACAGGTGGACCAGGAAGACCCTGAAGACCAGTGAAACCTCTGTGTCCCTTCTGGCCTCTGTCACCTCGGTCTCCGTTATCACCTTTGTCACCACGAGGCCCTTGGGGACCCTGTAAGTATAAACATAGTGAAATGTAAGATTCAAGACTAAGTACAATCCTTACTTTCCTTCAAACAAGCCTAACACTGTTCACTTCTAAAGCTAGGAAACAGAAAGTGCCAAAGCATCCCAGGGTGCCTTGACATACTTGTGCTGAAAATGATGCACAAGTAAATTACATTGAATTGACACTAAGGTTCCCAGTAAATAACACTGGGAAGCTAGAGTGGAATGGAAGTTAGAGTGAATAGAAGCTAGAGTTCCTGGTCTTTCTGATACTTTTCCCTGTTAAAAATAATTCAGATTGGACAGCAGTAAAGCAGTCATAAAGAACTTACAGGCAAGCCCCGTTTTCCAGCACGGCCAGGTGGACCCATTGGACCCCGAGAACCCTATAGGAAATGCACAAAGATGTCATGTGAAGCCTGGAATGATGTATAATGTGCGCAAGAACACAACGTCACTGTCCCTGAACATGACAATAGAAACCAGTGTATGCTGAATTAAAATTCCTACTTACTACTTCACCCCTCTGCCCTGCATCTCCTTGTGGTCCAACTGGTCCTGGCGTACCTGGAGCACCCTGAGCACCTGGTAAACCTGAAGGTCCTGGCTCACCACGATCACCCTGCAAAATACCATGATTTTGTATCAGGCATTTAAAAGGTGAAACCAAATTACATCAAAAAACACTTTACTATCCCTATGCTCCTGTTTAATGATTATGATTGATTGAGATTCTCTTATTCTTGGTCCTTAAGTCTGAGCTTCTCTGAGCTGGTGTTCCCCAGCCTTGAAATCTGCCTTACTTCACAGACAATCAGAACCCTGATTTGGAACTGGAATGCAATTTTACAATTAGATCTCTGTATAGGAAAGTTTTGGAGCAATGGAGAAAAGGAATCAGCCATAGGTTCAGAAAAGAATGTAGATTTACAACAATGGCTTAACAAATAACATATTCTTACACGTTCTCCAACAGCTCCATCTCGTCCAGGAGTACCATCATTACCAGCAGGTCCCTGTGGATGGGAGGGGGGGAAATAGGACAATGTATTAATAGTTTTATTTGAAGAGCACAGTCTTGCCTTTGCCCAAAAATGGACTAGGTCTTTCCTATCTTCTACTTTTACAATTCTAAGCATATAATTAGAGCAAGCTGCTCACTTTTGTATAGAACCAATTCACAATACTTACTTCTGGACCAGGTTCACCTACTGGACCAGTGGCACCTGATTGGCCAATAGGCCCCGGAGGACCTTTATCTCCTGGTGGGCCTGTTGGACCTTGTTTTCCTGGTGTGCCCTAGGAAGATGTGAAACACTTGATAAGTTGTTAAACAAAGAAAGCATAACAGAATATAATGTTGATCAGTAAAATGTTATGCATCACCAACAACTGTAACTTGTAGAATTAAGAATGGAAGAAAGTATTCAAATACATTTTGAATACACTTGGACATCTATATTAATTAACCAATTTAATTCAACTTTTAAAAGAATTTTATAATATTGATATAGTATTTTATTGACTAGGATCTGTACTCTGAAGTTGATATTTCTAATTGATCTAAGGATCAGCTCCCATATAAACAAAGATAACTGAGCTTCATTCAGGGTCTGTGGTAAGCAAATGCTCCCCTTATTTCTAGTTTAACTCAGAACCTAAACAGCTTCTGGATTAATTTAGAGCAACCTAATGTAGATATAACATCTTGTTCATCTTTTTTGGCTCCAGTTTGTCCACTTCAACATCTGTGGAACTTCTGCTTGTCCCAAGTTGCTTGCAAGCTTGGGAGAAGCTCTGGCTCAAATTACAAATTATCATCTATTAATTTGTACACTACTGAGGCTTTCATCATTACCGTGTGCTAACCAGCCTACCACAGAAACTACTCTTTTTGACCATCTCCTATAAGACCAAAACCAGAATTTCAGAAGCTTCTAAAGTAGACTGATATTTGTAATATAACAATAATGGGAGATGTACATCATTGCTCTGCTTAACAGAATATTACCTTGTTTATAGGACCTTGTTACCCTCTAGAGACTAGCCTACCAAGGAAAACAAGCTCTAGTATCAATGTTTGATTTCTTATTTGGGCACCTAAATGAGTCATCTAGTTTTAAAAGGTGTTAATATCTAAATAGCAAAACTCAATTTGGAACATTTTGGCCAGGAGTCTTAACACTCCTAACCATTTACTATTAACTCGTATCTCTGAGGTAAAGAGTCTCATCAAGTTCCATTATCTACGTCACATTTGTACAGGTTACTTATTTACTTCATCTCCTCATGAGTGGACTCCAAAGAAAATTAGAACCTTTGGACATTCTCCTCATCCTATGCAGGAGTTAGGAGGGAGATATATTGCATCACAAAGGTCATTGGAATAATTAAAATAATGTGGTAGCTGAAATTCTGATTGTATTTTACTCACAGCAGGTCCAGGCAGGCCAGGCATGCCTCTCTCACCTCGCTGACCTGGCATACCAACAATACCTCTCTGACCAGTGGTTCCAGCTGGACCTGGGGGACCATCAGGACCCTGAATTTGACCAAGAAAAACAGTGTTGTTATAATTTTAAATTTCAATAACTTCAACAGTAATAAGAAATCAAGAATTTATCTTAATGTAAGAGAAAGTTAACACTACAAAATATTTTTATTTATTCATAACTTGTAAATGATACAGGGCTAAGAAGTTATGACTAGACAACGTAACGCTAGTTCTGAAGATAAAAGCAGGTAAAATGAAATTAGAAAATGTAATTGTTTCAACAAAAATAGGTAAAATTTAATCTATTCTCTCTCATACCTGAAATATGTGTTCTGTGTGAAAGACCCAAAGAATAACATGCTCTGTAGAGCATAGATAATCAGAATATATTGTAGAAACTTTCAGGCTACTTAATCTGTGTTCTGTATGTAGTATAATATAACAAGTAGTTTCTATGTTTTTTCAAGAAGGTATAAACTTTTGACTTGCTAATAAATAACTATTATTAAAACCCTGCATTCCTAAAAGAAAAGAAAAGAAAATTAGATAAGCAAAGCTTACAGGTTGCCCATCTTCTCCTGCATCTCCTTTGTCTCCAGGACCACCTGGTGGCCCAGCTGGTCCACGATCTCCTACTCGGCCATGAGAACCAGGATCACCACGAAGACCTGGAGGGCCTTCCTTTCCTGGCTCACCAATAGGCCCGGCAGGCCCTGGAGCACCCTAATAAATAGTTAAAATATTTATTAAAATACCTTAATGCCCTTATTGACAGCATATCAATATCTAATTTAGTTTATGTGGCACAAATGCAAATTGTTTCTGTTCCTTCAAACAAGCCTAGTCCTCATGGGGTTTTTGCTTTTTTCACATTTATGTTATGGCTCTCATTGTAAAAGAGCCAAAAGTGATGGATAATCTACAGGAATCATATCAGTCAAGGTAATTTCCTTTTAGAAGAAGTCCAAAATGGCATACATTTGATAGGAGGCCTGCAGGAGAATGTGCAAAAAAAAAATTTCTTTTAAGTATTTGGCCATTTTGTCAAACCACATCAATACATATTCCTGTTTAGCAGAGAACATATTATATACCTAGCAGGTTGTTTTGACATTACCTTGCTTATGCCAAATGCACAGCAAATAAGAGTAATATTGCCCTTTATCATTAAACCATTTCAAAACTGTATTTAAAACAAGTGATTTACCTGCAAACATGGCTGGATTGTCAAGCCAGGCAAAGTATGGCTAAATTCTTTAGTCACTATTACTAAGCAAAGTTGTTTTTCTGTTTAACTGGTTGAGTTTTTCCCCCTTCCTATCTCTATAATTTTTTTTTCATTTACTATATGAGTATTTTCATTGATGAGATGACATTGAAAAGTGCAGAAAATGCCCCACACAAACACACACACCAGTTATTATAAAAAAGGAGCCACAGCATAAAATCTAGATAAAATTCAAAATTATCATAATCTTTATTTTTTCCTCTCTAAGGAAATAGCTCAACCAAGAATGGGTTGACTAGCTCAGGGCCACTGAAGTCAATTGAAAGGATTTTAATTGTCTTCAATAGTCATTAAAAGAGGCTTTATTTAACCTAGAACAGGAGTGTCAAAGATACAGCCCATGGGCCAGATCCAGCTTGCAGAGCCCTGCCATCTGACCCATAGTGCTTCTCATGTACCTCCAACTACATCTGCATGGCATATGTGGTGTGTCCCAGACCAGTCCAGGTGCCACATGCAGCATGCATTCACCCTGGCCCCAACCCTGCCAGCTGCAGTACACAGTAGAGTATACAGTATATAGTACACAGTATGTAGTGTACAGGTCCAATCTAGGGCATATGCTGATGTGGTGCACAAGGCTGCTCTGGGGTATTTGCTGCATGCAGTGTTCAGGGTCATTCTGCATGCGGTGCCCTCACAAAGCAGCCCCATATTCTGGATTCAGTTCACAGGCCGGGTCTGTGGGCCCAATTTAACCCGCAAATTGGTCCCATACCACTCATCCAGCCCATAGTTTGATCAGATCCAATTTAGAACTTGATCCTGAGCCCACCGAAGTCAATGGAAACAGGATGTTCCCTTCATCAGGCACAAGATCAGGCCATTGACATTACAGATCTTTTCTAAGAAGCTTTGATCTGTTCAAAATGTTAACTACCACATGACAGAATGCTCCTGTCAGAACAAGCAAACTGACTTACAGTAGGCCCTGGAGGTCCGACTCTTCCAGCAGATCCAGGAAATCCTGTTGCACCCTAAAAATATATTTATATATGAGCATCTGAAAAAACAAACTATTGCCAATTGCCTGAAATGCTCTTAGGTCACCAAACAATAAACTCTAACTGGCATGTCTCTGATATTATTACTGAATACACAGGACAAGCTCAGATTAAGAAAGATTTAAACATTTCTCAGGTGTAAAATAGTGTTATTCATTAATCACAGCTAATTCATAAAAAATAAAGACTACTTACTGGTGGACCCTGAGTGCCACGACCACCTTTTAGACCAGGAACACCAGAAGGACCCTAAATAGAAAAGAGAATGGGATGGGTGACTGATAGTAAACAGCATAATAGTATTAAATGTGCAATACCAACACAGGTCTGCGTTCATTCATTTTGCTTTTACTTACTGGTGGGCCAGGAGACCCAGCAAGGCCTTGTGGTCCTGGTGATCCAGCATCCCCTTTCTGTCCAGGTTCTCCAGGTTCCCCTTTCACACCTGGCTGACCATCAGGGCCCTATGAAGAATAATATGTGTGATACAAATCAAGTTAGAAGACATCAAGCCTTTCCAGTGTTAGAATCAGTAAACACTCTAGTAAGGTTTGGTGAGCAAATCAGTCTGAAGAGGAGGAGTAATATTTTCTTTTGGAGGGACAGCTAAAGTAACTTGTAGTAATTTGCCATAAAATAGAGTAATCCATAAAAGATTTCTTGATTTGTTTATTTGGTGAGGGGGACTATTTATTTACTTATTTCATTTGCTGGGGTTTAGTTGGTTTATTTATTTGGGGATTTGTATTTGTAAAAGTTCTGTGTAATGAGTCAACTATCCTACCAACAATGTCTTTCTTCTTACTTCTCTCTTTCCTCAACCCCTTGAGTTCTTTCTTCTCATTCTTCATGGGCATATTTTGAATATTCAAAATTGAAAGAGATTGAACCATCTCACTAGTTATTGTACTGTCTTTTTTCCAGTGGAAGTAGGTGCTTACTAATATTTGGGAAAAGGAGGTCAGCTTTATTCTAGTACCAATGAATTATTTCATTGCAACAATAGTATGGGAAAAATTAAGTATTTATGGAGATTCACAAACTTCTCATTCATTCCCCCTTCCCATTCCAAACTCCACTGCAAGTCTTTGCTACCCCTCAGCAGATGACAATTTGTGCTTTTCTTTTTTCAACCTCAAAGCAAATATTTTCACATGTTAACAAAAATGTGTAATCTGGTTAATAATGATATAACTCTATCAACAAAACAGTTTTCAACTTGCTGGTGTTTTTATTGACCCACTATTGAATATCATATTCAATAGTAATATTGAAATATTAAATATGATATGAGAAGAAAAATGGGAAAGTCCTTTTAAAAGACAAAAACATAACTTGTTCTAAAAATATTGAAAAATCCATGTAAAAATGTTAAATAGCATTTAAATTATGGTATAATTAAAGGTGACTGAATAGTGGTACAAGACACATACCGGAGGACCAGCAAAACCGACAGCACCAGTTGGGCCGTTTTCACCACGGGAACCCTGGCCAAGAAATACAGAATGGTTGTTTCACATCACATAAGAGGTTAGCTTTAACAGTACAATCCAGAGAGAAGTGTAGAATCTGCAACTGCATTAATTCTAGCTGCAAATTCAGGGGTCAAACGAGATGACGCTTGATGACCCTTTCCAATCCTGTGATTCCATGATTTATTTCTTTTAGATAACTAAAAAATCTAAACTAAATATCTCTCTCAAAATATAACAGAACAACAGTATATATACATAACTCAAATAACTCGCTAGGCTAAATTCAACTTTCAGCTTTACAAATGTAACTGAAAGCAGCATTTGGTCTAGTAGATACACATTGTGTAACCCACTATTCCATTCCTTTGGGCTGAAAGCAAAAATATTAGTTGAAACATATGATTCCTAAGTGATAAGACCACTGGGGCTATAAAGCTGCCACAACTAAAAATTCCATTGTTTGTGTGTCTGAGGGAGGAGTGGAGCCTGAATGCAGCCGAACTCCAGCAGGCCCCAGCTGCTCTAACAGTTGCTCTAATTTACAATTGAATTGAGGCTCCTCTGATTTATGACATAGGCAGCATAAGGGATTGGGAAGTACAATGTAATTGTGCCCCTGCCTTGGTCACACCCAACTATCTGAGCTGACAATTCCCAAATCATCAAAAATAATCTGAAATTTGGAATATGCTAAAATAAACAATATGAGGACTGAGATCATCAGAATTATCATACTTCTCCCACCCTTTGTCCTTAATAAATACAATACAATAATATGTCAGGAGTATGTTTTTTTAAAAAAGGCTCAGGTAACTACCAAGGATGTGTCTAATGATAAGTATGGCAATATGATGTCAGATGTGAGGAAAGCTGCAGTAGCTCTGAAGACATTTATAAAAGGATGAATAATTGTAGTTAAAACAGCAACAAGGCAGGAACTGTAGCCTATGGTTGAAGTATGCAAGAAAAGGAGGAGAAAGGATGAAAGTAGAGCAGCCAATGAGAGAAACTATTCGAAATCAGGTCAACCTAAAACAGATGCACCCTGTTAAATATCAGCACCCTACTGAGATCTCTTAGCATTTGGTATAAAGAAGGCAGAGTTATTTACTCACCGGATTTCCACGGGATCCAGGAGGACCAACTAAACCTCGTGGACCAGATTCACCCTTAAAATGAAGTTGATAGGTTATTTCTCACACAGTTTGTCTGAAGAGCAGTGTATTTGCAACAATATATGGTTTTATTAGGAAAATTTAAAACAAAAATGTCAACTTTCATTTCATAAAAATCCCATTACCTTTTCACCAGTGGGACCTGCAGGACCCATTGGACCTAATGGACCTGGAAGACCCTGTTGAGCAAAGCAGTAAGAGACATTATGGAGAGAAAAGTAAAGCTTCAGAACTCCTGGTCTATTCTATGTTAACATTTCCTTCTGCATTTTTGTTCCTTAAGATTCTTTCTCATTGCCCTAGACATTTTGTTTTGCCTTCCTTAGCATTCATTTAGTACTTACATCCTGCCTTTTAATCTGTTTTAATTACAGACACCACATGGTATCTGTAGAGAAGGCCTAATGATCAAAGAAGTCCTGGGTTGTTTGTCCTTTATTTCAGGAGAAAATGAAGAAAGTTTTTTTGTCATATTTGCACTAAGCATCTCCAGACCTCTGCTCACTTTGTTCAGAGGTGCTTAACTATTTAAAGAAAAAATCTCTACCAGCACTTTCAAAAACTTATTTATTCATATCAGGCAAACTCCACTACAAAGTATCCTTTTCCTTTTGCATGACATTTAGGATAATTGATTCCAGTTTCTCCACTTATATCACTCTTACTTACACTGAATAAGCCTACAACAATAATCAGATAGGCTTTCTGAATACTTAATTTGCCAATTATGATTCTTGTCCACTAGAAGCAGAAAGTAAAAGACTGTACGAATCAACATTTTGAAATCCACCCAACACCAAAAAGCTGTGATGTTACTTGCCTCATGTTACGGATCAATATATTCAACATTTAAAAATGAAAGTTATTGCATCACTTCCAGTGCTCAAGAGGCATTCTCATCCATGTTTTAGTTGAAGAGTCTAAATCTAGTTCATCATGCTCACACTTACTTGTTCACCGTCTCACACTAGGAGATTGCTTTTGTATAGTTTCATACAGTATATATCTATGCACCTGTAGTTTTCCATTTTTCTAAGGCCTATGTAATCCCTCTGGTCCCCAAATGCATTATCTAATTAACCTACTACAGAATCTCAGTGTTGAAACATATTCATGCTTTGATCTCATGCTTTTTTCAGCATCTGAATAATTGTTCTATTTTGTATGTGAAAATGCATTCTTAAAGGAAAAAAATAAAGGGACGCACTAATGCAGCTGACTTCACAAAAAGCTCCATGGGTATTTCCAAGGGTTCCAACAGCTCCTTAAACTTTTCAGTCTTTTTTGTGTTTCTTCAATATCTTTTGTTAGGAAAGACAGATCAGATAACATGAGATGAACTCAGCCCCAAAATAAACTCTAAGGCCCAGCTCCTTAAAGGTAATTTGGTGCCTAAGTATTTCATTTAAGTATTTCTAACATTTTCTAAGCAACTGAATACTCAGCTGCTACCTACCTGCACCAGTACTTAAATCTCCTATGCACTCAAATGTCTACCAGTCAACATTTGCAAAGGCATCTAAATATTGATCCTACACAACAAGCTGCTCTGACTCTGACTTCAGCTGAAGCTCCAGAGGCTGTGAACCAGACTGCACAAACTAGATAGATAAACAATGACCCACCTAAGGCCCTTGTCCTGTAAGCGTGTTCTGAGCATACGAAACACCAGCTCTCTTTCAGATCTCAAACAGGAAGGCCACGTGCAGGCTAACAATTGGTGGACCAATAGTAGCATGCTGCACAAAATAAGATGGACTAGGCAAATGTATGGAAAACACGAGATTGATATTGAGCCACAGCAGTAGCTGAGAAGTCAGAAAGAAAGAGAGTTTCAGTTGTTAGGACACAGGCTACATAGGTGACTGACTAGCTTAGGAACCTAACTGTAACCTAACTGACAGATAATTCATGTCTGAAGATCCAGAGTGGGTGAAGGTGCCTGTTTCAGCTCTGGTACCCAAGGCCAGTCTTTCAGGGCCTAAGCTTTTCTCCTTCCTTCTTTGCCCCTTTTCCTCAGTACACATTTCATTTCTGTCCAATTTAGGTAGTCTCATGCTCAGCTTGATGGTTTCTGAAAAGTCCCTTTCTTAAAAGTCAGGTTGTCCCCATGCACTCTACAGGGAGCCTGGGTGACTCATTAGCATTAATAATTCCAAAGTAGCAACTGGTCACTGAGGGGTTAGACACGGCAATGTGGAATGCAGTAGCCCTTATCTGCCTTTCAATATCAGAGCTAAAGTTCTTGGAGCCAATTGTCAATCCATGGTATTGAGTTGGTGCATATAGTCTGCTTCAGATGTCCAGCCATACTAACTTAGTTGGCAGCACCATCACATGGAGGCATTTTGAAGAGGAACAATAAGTTTACTTACCCTTGCACCATCATTTCCTGCTGTACCTTCAGCACCTTTCTCCCCCATGCCGCCCTATGGAGAATATCCAGAAAGTCCAGGTTATATTGGATATGGAACTATACCAATTGCAGCATTATCCAAAGAAAACTAATTCAACTATTTGAGGGAGCTAAAGCAAGGATACTTACCCGGTCACCCTTGGGGCCTGGAGTTCCAGCAATACCTCTTTCTCCAGGCATACCCTGAAGACCAGGAGGGCCTGGATCACCTGGGGTCCCAGTGGGGCCTGGATTGCCCTGAAATCAATAGAAAATAAATTCTAAATTATTCAGTTAAGATAGGCTTTTGTCTTTAGGCTGCAAAACACTCTGTGCCCCTGAGGAAGCCTCTTAAGTAGTTTCATAGTTTCTAGGGTCGGAAGGGACCTGAG